AGGTTAGAAGCGTTCGAAATGTGGTGTTACAGGCGAATGATGAGGATACCGTGGATAGAGAAAGTTAGAAATGAAGAGGTATTAGAAGGAATAAGAAAACAGAAGACTCTAGGGAAGTCAATAAGAAATAGACGAGATAGGTTGATAGGACACCTTCTCAGGCATAAAGGTCTAGTCAGAGTCCCGAAGAAGGAATGTCAATCAATCCCATACGGTGGTCATCAAATCCGGATATCGAGTCAATTTCGAATTTAATTTTCAATTTCATAATACAGTTGTACTGGGAAGATAGACCGAATAAAATATGTAGATGATGTGAATGGAATTGTTCGAACTAAAGTCATGTTAAGTATCTATTGAGCACTCGCATAAAACAAGAATCGTTGTAACAAGAGTACAATTACGCAGTAATGCGAAGAGTACGTCTGCCGCCACTGCATATATAAATACTTCACGTTTACAGCCGTGAGGGCGATTGTTCGATTTTATTGCATCATATAAGCGGAGCGGATTGTGGCTCCAATAATAAAACCAAAACGTCGTAATTTTATCATATAAATTTTATAACGTGATCTTCTGTTTCTGCTATTCTGGGGTTTGCAAAGTTTCCTTTACTAAACTAGAATAATATAATTTTAATGCTCAAGAACGTTATTTCTGGCTATTTTGCTGTTACTATTATGATAGGAATACACATGTTAATTGGTCCGTGATTTGATCCATAACTAACACTGACATCTTTTTCTACTGTTTTGGATGATATCACCTCCCCCCTTCTTTTGTCACACCCCTCACTGTCCTAAAGAAACGACCCCCCATATTCCTTAAAATTTTCTTCAATCGGCTCCATCCACCTCCATCCTTATTCACCACTGCATAGCATTGCTCCGAAGTTCTGTTACTCTCCTTCTGGAATTCCTGGGCACCCAATTCTCTTTCTCAGCGCCACCACATATTGATCCCTTTATATCTTTCCTTTCTAATATTCCCTTCTACCAACCTCCCCAACCTCACCTCATATTTTACTATCCTTTTTATCGCTTCTTCCCTGATCTTCCAACATTTAGTCACGCTTCTTGTTACATAATCTATCGTACTTCTCTCTAATTGCATACCCACTTATATAAAACCCTTATCTGCTCTTTTTCCTCCCATCCCCATATTTCCCTTTCTTTTTCTTCTACTTCGTTATTATTGTCCTGGTCCTTTTTAGATTTCCAATTCCATCTTGCCATCACTTTCTAAAAACATTTCCTCACCCATAAAGATCTTTCTCAGTTACCACATTTTTCTTCTTCTATACTTTGTTGCTATTGTCCAGATCCATTATCATCATTTTCCTAATTAGTTTCATTGCAGTTAACTGAATATTATTTGGTGTCACTACTAATCCATGACTATTGTTCCGATAGTTATCTTTCTCAGATCCCTGAATTGTATATTCATTGTGCGTTTCCTCTTCATCCCTTTGATCATCATAAATTGGATCTTCGTAATTCCAAACTCTTTAATTAGGTATTATTCATTCCTGAAAACTGTTTTCGTATTAGAAAATACTACAAATGGAGCAGTAAACGCCATCTGTAGTACGATGCTACATTTTAGGATTACGTATGCTCCAACAAGGTCCACTTGTGTGGATATCTACTTGCTGAAAACGAACCCAGGCTTAGCCAACCTCAACGTGATAGGCACGTTATCTTAATCGAATAAAATAATTCCAAGTGGTCTGTATTCTGTCGAAACTGCCAGGCGCGGATCATTTTGGATCTCATCAGCGCATCGCAGGCAGCTCCGACAGAACACAGACCAACTTTTACCTGCTGTCTTAACAGTGCGTTTTAGAAAATACTGTGGACCTTGTTGGAGCATACGTAATCCTAAAATGTAGCATCGGGCTACAGATGGCGTTTACTGCGCCATTGGTAGTATTTTCTAAAACGCACTGTTAAGACAGCAAATAAAAGTTGGTCTGTGTTCTGTCGGAACTGCCTGCGACGCGCTGATGTGATCTAAAAATATCGAAATCGCGATCCGCGTCTGGCAGTTTTGACAGAATACAGACCACTTCGAATTATTTTATAATATTACTATTGTCAGGATAACAAACAATTTCTGTAAATATGTGCTATTTTTTTTAATGATTCCTGTTTTCTATCGTTTCAATCCTCTTTTTAAAAAAAAAAAAACTTGTGTCAATCAGTGAGAAATGCACACCTGACAGGTCACAGATTACCTTCGTATCAATAGCTTATTCTGTATGACCTTTCTCAAAACAACATAATGTAGCAAAGTTTAAAACACTGTATTCAACGTATAAAATTTTTACACTCCATCGTGTCCGAAGTAAGGGGTTGGTCTACTAGAGACAGTTTAAGACGGTATTTCGTTCGTTTGCAGGAACCATTCTCGCCAAGTTTTCATGTTCCTAGCGAGCACAATATTCTCAAGGCGTAGTTTTTAAAGTAGCAGGTGTCTTTCGACTTCAATAGAATTTCGCATGTAAGTCCCCCGAATGGGGAACATAGTCTGGCGTGTACACAGATATACACGTACATGCCGGGATGGGTTATTGCACTGCGGTAGGGTCAATAAAGAAATGGAACGACTGCTGCAACGACTTCATCCCTTAGAGTAATCTGTAGCGTTTGTTAAACTACACGACCAACTCTGGTTACTTCTTCCATTCCAGTCAATATAGACGAATTTCTCTTTTATCGCAGAAAGTATAAATAGCAATAACGGGAACCATTGCAATCGAATCCCACATGACTTATGGAAACGGAATGTTCTAAATTCGACACTATCAAATTAATGAAAATGGAGACCAGATGAAAAATAAAGAACAAGTATGACTCGCTCCTTGAGGGTTCTGTGCTGTTATACGAAGTCGATTTAAAAAGTATCGTCAATTTTCTGTTTTTTCAAAAACTATTTATTCATTCATGAATATCTATTTTGTCCACTTCAAAGCAATCCCCACCAGATATTATACACTTGTGTCAACGTTGTTCTCAATCCTCGAAGCACTTCAAAAAGTTATTTTTTGTGATCTTGTTCAGCTCCTCATTCGATGCCGTCTTTATCTCCTCAATCGTAATATATGTAATGTAATGTGTTCTTACACGGGTCTCTTTAGTTTTGAGAACAACAAAAAGTCACAGGGGGCCAGATCTGGGAAATACGGTGGCTCCGACACTATTACTGTGTTGTTTTTGGCCAAAAATTCGCGCACAAGCAACGATGTGTGAGCACGGGCGTTATCATGATGCAAAAGCCAATTTTTGTTCTTCCACAAATCCGGGCTTTTCTGGCGGACTACTTCGCGCAAATTGCGCATAACTTGCAGGTAATATTCCTTATTGACCGTTCTTCCCTGTGGCAAGAACTCATGATGCACCACGCCCCTGCAATCGAAGAAAACTGTAAGCAACTTGCATCGTTTTTTTCGGTCTTGGCTCGTGCGGCACTTTTTATTGGGATGATCAAGCTTTGGTTTTCACGTCATTNTAGCTACAAGCTATCCAAGGATGGTACTATAGAATGTCACCTCAAGGTAGGCCTAGTGGCGTCATCTCTTGGTTAGGCCGGAAACTTATCAATCCACCCTCGTATAACCTGCTCCAGTTCCCTTACACGTACGCAGTACTAAGTAATTTAGTTCAACGTTCAACGAAAATCAGGTCATAATCGAAATTAATTCCGTATCGATTAGTCCCTAAAATATCTACTGATAAAAAGGTATGATATGAAGTTTCTAGTACCATGACACAAGGTCGTTCCTAGACTCTCATCAATAAAAAACTAATTTGAAACGTTAAATTAACAAAATAAAATATTGAAGAAACTTAATTTCATCATTCTAACCTTCTATTATTGATGAAATCTCTATGACGGAACATGGTGGGTTCAAAACTGTTCGTCTCCTACCACCAGGGACATCTTCAGTATCTCCAATGCTGTTGCTGAATTGTTCAGCATTGTTGGATAACATGAAGCTCCTGTCTCTTGTGATAGGAAACGAAATGTCGAAAACATTTAACGCCTTCAGGACCCATCATGACGATTTAATCAATAAATAACACAAGGTTAGGATTATGAAACTGATCTTCTTCACAACCGTGAAAGCCTTATTCAACTTCCAAAATCAGACATCCGCATAATTCTGTCATTCCAATGGATCTCGTTATGTTTTTCTCAAGCATTATTAATTTGATCTACCAAAAAAATGGATATCAAAGATAGACCCAAAATTTATATAAGATGAAGCAGATGCAAGGGAAGAAAAAGTGGGGAAAAAGCGAATATAAAGATAGGAGACGAATAGTTAGAAATGGCTGATTTTAGGTATCTAGAAAGTCAGATAAGTCAGGACGGAAGGAGTAGTAGGGATATAAAGCAGAGGATAGCGCAGGGTCGAGTTACCTTCAATAAAAAGGAATCACTTCTATGCTCGCGAATGGTTAATTTAGAAATTCGAAAAAGATTAATGAAGATGTATAGTTGGAGCGCGGTGCTGTATGAATGACGAGGATACCGTGGATAAAGAAGGTTAGAAATGAAGAGATTTTAGAAAGAATAGGTGCACAGAGGACTATACGAAAGTCAATAAAAAATAGGCGAGATAGGTTGTTAGGACACCTTCTCAGGCATGAAGGTCTAATCAGAGACATTTTAGAGGCAGAAATGGGAGTTAGGAGGGGTAAAGGTAGACCTAGATTAGATTACTGTTCGCAAATAGTTAAGGATGTGGGTTGTTGTAGTTTTAGGGAAATACGAAGTTTAGCTTAGGTTAGGAATGAGTGGAGGCGCGTGTCCAACCAGTCTTAGGACTGGCGACCTTATGATGATGATGATGATGAAGCAGATTTCTAAGATTTACAAGAAAATAGTTATGTTCATCTTGGACCTCTTGAATTTACTATATTAATGGAACATTTTGATCGAATCTTGCTTGATGACGATGTTCATTGTTTAATTTTTCTTTTCATTTGTTCCAGGCAATTACCGAGACTTGCGTCTACCTCCACCAGCATTCGAGGAGGTGACGGACTTGTTACGCCGCAGTCCCGAGTTCACGATAGCAGCCTGGGTGCGGCAGGAGAAAGGCAATACTGGTAGCATAATGAGCGTGGCGCACGGTCCCGATCGCTACCTGGAATTACAATCGAGCGGCCGCAGGAACGAAGTGCGATTACATTACACGTCCCGCGTTGACTCGACCGTACACACGGAAACGTTCGCGTACAGTTTGGCCGACGACCATTGGCACAGGGTCGCGGTATCGGTCAGCGGGTCGCAAGCCGAATTATTCGTCGATTGTTATCCGCTTTATAAAAGACTGCTAAGGCCTGGGGCGCCCAATAGAAATTTTTCCGCGCCCCAACAAATCTGGGTGGGCCAAAGGAATCAGCACTATCACTTCAAGGTAAGTTAGTTGAGACATAGCTGGTATTATTTTACATGCAGTATCTGCAGTAATATTCTACCACTGGTAATGGCATAGATGAAAAATGAAAGTGTGAGAGACCATCAAAGAAACCGTAACAAATGAGGCAATTACACTGGGCTGTTTTTTTTCTTCCACCGAAAGACGTGATCGAGCGGTCTAGATAACAGCTTAGCATTCGAGAGGATGCCAGTTCGATTCCACGTCCACTTGCTCTAAAGTGAAAAATTCTTTTGTAATTTCCTTGAATCGTTTAGACAAATGCTGGGTAGTGACATACGTCACCTGTCCTCCTTTATCTTTATTTTGTCAGCCTCATCTGCCTTTCTCCAACCACTATCCACCCATTCCAAGGAGATTTGATAAGTGGGTCTTCTGCCCTACCCTCTGACTTTGCTCTAAAGTTTAAGTTGAATGAACTGCCTGACCACCAACTTATATAATAGCTGGTTGGAATAAAACGTTGAAACGCGAAAGTTTGTTTTTACTTCTTCTCGAGCTATTTTCAGTCGTTCATGGAATTCCTTGATTTCCTCTGTAATTTCCTTGGATCGGTTAGAGAAATGCTGGGTAGTGATATACGTCTTCTGTCCTCCTTTATCTTTATTTTGTCAGTCTCATCTGCCTTTCTCCAACCACTATCCACCTATTCTAAGGAGACTTGATAAGTGGGTCTTCTGCCTTACCCTCTAACTTCGCTCTAAAGTTTAAGTTGAAAGAACTGCATGACCACCAGCTTATATAATAGCTGGTTGGAATAAAACGTTGAAACGCGAAAGTTTATTTTTACTTCTTCCCTAGCTGTTCTCAGTCGTTCATGGAATTCCTTGATTTCAAACTCTCTTAGCTCCTTGTGAATGAAATGAAAACCTCTTCGACGCGTTGAGAGTAAAATGTTGGCATGCTTTGGAAGTTGCGCTTGCATGATGCAACGGATGTGACGTCAGCAAGGGAAGTTACTGTCAATTGTGAATTGCAATCCAAAACAACACATGATTGTTCTAAATAAATACGTAAATGAAAACGTAACTTCTACCACGTGTTTATAAGTGCACCTCTTTTTTCTTCTGCAGGACTGCTTTAGATTGTATTTGTTGATTTAGAAGGTGCAGTTATTTCATTTGTTTCTATACGATTTCAAGTGGATTTGAGCATGCACCTGAAGTATAGCATCGAATAAATTTGCGGTATGTGCGTGCTTAGCTAACTCCTGATAAAATAGTATCGATAAATGGCATGTAAAGCAAGAGATTACCACTTTTATCGCATTCTTAATTGACTACAAATCTTATCGCCTGTCAAATATCAGATGAATAATCGTTTCAAACTCTCAATCCAACAAACAACAATTATAAGTGAACGTGAAAAACAAATATGGGTAAAGGTCTAGATGATGCCATTTCTAGGCATGTAAATATTTATATAGTCATTCTTAAACAATATTCAAAGGTAAAACTAATGAAAAATACATAAAAATATTGAGAAAGTTATATAAAACATTATTTAAATATCTTTATCAATAGGTTAGGTTAGGTTAGATTAGGTAATCGGGTTTTGTTCAAGTGGCCACCCTCTTTCGATCCCCCACCTCCACCCGCTTGAAAATAATTATTTTATTGAATTTTATTTGAATTATAGTGTATAAAAATTGTCAAAATAATCAACTTTCTACCCCCATAACTATTTATCATCTAGACCTTTACCCAAATATGCTCTCAAAACGTTTTAGACTTTCCTTAACTGGGCTAATTAATAGCTAATTAAACCTGCAAATAATTATTTCATGCATTTCCTTGTTTTACTTTATTAAAATGACAAATTCATGTCATTTACACTTTCCGACATTATAAATGTATCATCAGGTACAACACCTCTAACTCCCTTAAAAATGAGTATTTTAGTAAATAAATGATGACGCCATCTCTGTAAAATCAGTCACCCTAGTTTTATTTTTCCTCCTCTTAAATCAACTTCATTATCTTGATGCATGTTAAAGACGTGTACGCGCCCTTTTCAAATGACTACCTTTATTCGCACCCCCAACAAAAAGTTTTCAGCAAAACTGATTAGGTAAGTGGTAAGCTCAAGAGTCATCGTCACTTTTATTGCTTTGCTGTTTATAAAGTTGAGAATGTCTAAGAAAGCTACGAAAGAACAAAAAGTATGATTTTGGTTTTAAGAAACAGTTATCCAATTGTTGGATATATTCTGTCTAATTTTAGGGATCCCTTTTTAAATAAATGTATAAATGCAGACGAAACTGTGTTTCAATAATTCCTACTTTTAAATTCGCTTCACCTGAATTTATATACTCTATTGGTATAGGAGCTGTCATACTCAATACGACAAAAATGCAATTGTACGTTACTAGTCCATGCAATTTTTGCAACCTACTTCTCCTTTCAAAAAAGAAACTAGCGTAGAATGAGAAATATCAATAATCTTTTGTACCTTGCGTCCTATATTTTGGCGAATGGGCTTGGCATATATCCAGGCGAAGTTTATAGCTCTGTAAAAGACGTTGCGAAGTTACGTAATTTAATCAGATAAGATGTAGACGTGTGGTCGTTGTAATAGACTTCTGAAATCAATTTTCTTAATAATGTCTAAAGAATAATTTATACTGTTTAGAGAGATAAAACTTTGACCTGCAACTATATCTGAACAACTAACAGTAAAAGAAACAATAATATCATCATCATCATAAGGTCGTCAGTCCTAACGACTGGTTGGACACGCACTTCCACTCTTTCCTATCCTGAGCTAATCTTCGCATTTCCCTGAAACTAGAACAACCCATATCCTTTTTCGCTTCGACTAGTAAAGTATTGCACCTTCTCCTATGCTCTTAATGACATCCCCCAAGGTAGTCCCCCAATGGGGGACTATTTTACGTCCGGAGTGCTTTACTCCAAAGGACGCCATCATTTAAGTTGTAGAGTTGTAAGAGTACGTTGTACTCTGGAAATCCTCGTGATCTCTGCCACCCTGAGTACTGAAAGAGTTGCTGCCTTCTTTCAGGGTCTTGTCTTAGTCTGGTTTCTCTTTAACCCCCCCTCCCCCCCCATTATGGTTGAATCTATGGTCCGGCTTCCTAAAACATCGAAACTTGCAATCCGATTCACCCACACTAGTTTGTACAAGCGCTTAATCAATAATGTACATAAATATACTACAAAGTTGTAAAATTTTTAGGGTTCTAGTTATTTGGAAATCATTAAAAACTAATAAGCCTTTTTCAATAGACGTTTCTCCATCATATAGCATAGAGTTATGAGAGTACTACAAAATTACTTTTATGCAAATAGTTATTGTTCAATAATTTATGAAAACTACCCCACATGGATCACACCGAATATCAGACAACAGACACTATATCGCCATCTAGTGATATTTGCTGCTAACAGCAGTACTTCAAATGTTTAACAAGACCTCACAAAGGTATCCTATTTTTACCTTCAGCCAATCTGAATTTCTGACATGGCACGTAAATAAATCTAACAAAAGATTTAGAATGAAAATAAGAAATTAGAAAATTTTCCTTGAGCCAATCTTAGTAAAGTTACAAAATTGTAATTTCAAATATGAAAATAATGTTTCGATTTTGGATTCTTTTGATCTCACAGTTTATTTGAGTTAATAAGTTCGAAAACTTTTCTATGATATGGCACGTAAATAAATCTAGCAAAAGATTTAAAATGAAAATGAGAAATTAGAATCTTTTCAGAGTTTAATACTGTATTTACAAAGGTTCACCAAAACAATAACATTTTAAACGAATGAATTTAATGAACGATTATGATTTTTTATTAAGCTTCAAATGTTAATTGTAATGCTTCAATATCCAAGCAATAAAGCTTTCGATGGACATTATTAATATCGTGATGTTGTTTACAGTACGTGACTTTACAATTAACAGGTGTATTTCGAATCGAATAATATCGTAATTACATTTACTACTGCTCTTGTTATAATTAATATTTAATTCAGAAGTAAGCAATAACCATAGCAATTGTAAATTTCGCCCACCCATTTGAAAAGACGTCCTTAAATATTAATTGAATCATGTACCGCTATAAATTTAGTATTGAAGTAGAAAAGATCATTATTTGTTAATTATTACGTTAATACTGTGATGGTTACAACTGAATAAAACGATTTGCGGATGATCAAAATACCGTGGATAGAAACGAGAAAATTTTAGAAAAAGTAGGAGAACAGAGGAAGCGATGAGATTCAATAAAGGGTAGGGGTAGAATGGTGGGACAGCTTTTCAGACGTGAAGGTCCAGTTAAGGACATATTAGAAGCAGAAATATGAGAAAAGATAGGTTGAAGAAGACTTAGATTAGATTGCTGTTAATAGTAATAGTTAAGGATGTGGGATGCTCTAGTTTAGAGGAAATACAAATATTTTTCTCAGGATAGAAAGGTGTATAGGTGAATGTCCTGCCAGTCTTTGGACTTATAACCCTATGATAAAGATGATGAAGAACTTTTTTGCATATAGTGGATTCTTATAAGGTTAAAAGTTAGTCAAAGCTGAGTTTTTTATTTTTACAAACTTTTGTTTTGATTTTTTCCCTTTTTTTCAGAAATAATTAAAAACTACATAAGTTGTCTACGTGATATTTATAATATATTAATACGTTTGTTTTTCTATCTAAAAAAAGTAGGTGATGTTCTGATTAGATATTTAGTTCTTATCAAACTTCGCGTGATGTCAGCTCATTAAAATTGAAAGGGTCCGTAACCCAAAGACATGGAGGCCGCCTTTTCGGCAGTTATAAATTATCTACCTGTTTGTTCGTGATGAATTACAGTTAATTATCCATTCGCTTAATAAATTATTGTCCTGTCAAAACCAAAGACAAGGACCCTGGCAACAATACGGCATAAACGCAATTAAATTTTAAAGGTCGATCGGAAAACAATTTCATCGTCAGCTGAACTGCCGAAATTCCTTAATCGAAACCCACACTTACACAACGAAAATGGGGACGTACAATCAATTGTCGAGACCTAAAACGTTTAATTAGTTAATTTTATCGTAGAAGTCAATTAACCAGGTACTCATTGGAAAAACTAAATTAATTCTCTAAAATTAAAGGTAGTCTACTATTGTTTACTGTGAACACATTTTGCCCAGTTAGTTGTATTACTGTTTATGAGAAGAACTTGTAAAATAATAAATAAAGGAATATTAACATTCTTCAATATAAAAAATTTAATACC